AACCTCCACTTCCTGGGTTCAAGCGATTTTCATGCCTCAGCCTCCGAGTAGCTGGGATTACAGGCATGCGCCACCACGCCTGGCTAATTTTTGTATTTTTAGTAGAGACCAGGTTTCACCATGTTGGCCAGGCTGGTCTTGAACTCCCGACCTCAGCTGATCCGCCCACCTCAACCTCCCAAAGTGCTGGCTTACAGGCATGAGCCACTGCGCCCAGCCCAATTTATTTATTAATTTTGAGACAGGGTCTTGCTCTATCACGTAGGCTAGAGTCCAGTGACACCATCACAGTTCACAGCAGCCTCTGAACTCCTGGGATCAAGTGACCCTCCCACCTCAGCCTGCCAAGCAGCTGGGATTACAGGCGTGTGCCACTATGCTCAGCTAATGTTTTCATTTCTTGTAGAGATGAGGTCTCACTATGTTGTTCAGGCTAGTCTCAAACTCCTAGTCTCAAGTGATCCTCCCACTTTGGCTTCCCAAAGTGCTGGGATTACAGGCATGAGCCACGGTGTCCAGCTTCTTTAAAATATTTTAAATGTATTAATTCTTTTAATCCTCACCACCAACTCTATGAGTCAGATACTATTATTCCTATCTTACAAAGGAAGAAGTGAAAGCAGAGAAGGGAGGTAACTTGCCCCCAAATCGCACAGCTAGTAAGTGGCAGAGACAGATTTGAACAAATGCCTGATTGTGTACCCCCTGGCTCCTGATTCTGTACGCCTGCTCAGTGGTTTGATGATATTTTATCTGTGTACTTTTCTTCTCCAGTCTCAGAGGACATGCATCTCTTACCCTCTCCCAGGCAAACATAGACTCTTAATCTCATTTCCTTCAATCTCTGAATCTTCACTGATTCATTTATTCCGCAAGTGTTTCCTAAGCACCGACTATGTGTCATGCACAATTCTAGGTGCTTGGGATATATCAGTAACAGAACATATCAAAATCATTGTTCCTGTGGGGCTTGATTGCTACTGTGGGAGATAGAAAACATAATAAATGTAATACATTGGTATGTCATATATGAAAAAAAGCCAAAACAGTACAGGGCAAGGGAGAAAAAGTGTGCCGGGTTGCAGGTGAAACATGGTAGAGTTCATTCATTCATTCATTCAAAAGACGTTTACTTAGACTCTGCTACGTGCAAGAGAGTGTTCAAGGTGCTTGAGATACACCAGTGAATAAAACACATTCCTAGGCCGGAGGTGGTGGCTCACCCGAAGGCAGGTGGATCACCTGAGGTCAGCAGTTTGAGACCAGCCTGGCCAACATGATAAAACCCCATCTCTACTAAAAATACAAAAATTAGCCGGACATGGTGGCACATGCCTGTAATCCCAGCTACTTGGGAGGCTGAGGCAGGAGAATTGCTTGAACCTGGAAGGCGGAGGTTGCAGTGAGCTGAGATCATGCCATTGCACTCCAGCCTGGGTGAGAAGAGCAAGACTACATCTCAAAAAAATGTACATAAAATAAAATAAAACAGATTCCTATCCTCATGGAGCTTACATTCCAGCTGGGGGGAGATAGAAACAATAAATATTATAAATTGGTAAATCTATTAAGGAGCACGACAACAAGTGATAAGATGCTTTAGAAAAATCGGGCAGGTTAAGGGGGATTGGTGTGCAGGAGGCTTCCAAATTAGTGGCCCATTAAATAGGGTGGCCAGGGTAGGCTTCACCAACTGGGGACATTTAGACAAAGGTTTGAAGTAGGCAAGAGAGTTGGCTCTGTGGATATTTGGAAGAGGAATTCTAGGCAGCGGGACGAGCCAGGCAAGAACTCAAGAAGGGATCATGCCTGGTATTTTTGGATTATCCACTGATTCTTCAACTTCTTTCTTTTTTCTTCAGCTCATAAAAATGTATAATCTCTCCTATGCCAAACAAAACACAAAACCTATCAGTCCTTCCACGCTGTAGTGAGTCCTCCATCTTTCCTATCCTTTTATGCAAGAATTTCTGAAAGATATTCCCTGATCCTGCTTTCATACCTGTCAATGTCTCTTTAATCCATCATGCTTTTCTATGACCACCATGCCACAGAAGCTGCTCCCTTGTAGGCTACCAAGGACCGGTAGCCTCCCAAATCCACGGCCTTTCTTTGCACCTTCCTGACGGTTTTCTCTGCAGGCTACTCAATCTTGGAACGTTCTTGTTAACTTCTGTCACACAGAATGGTTCTAGTTCCTCCCCTCTCCTCGCAACACCTCCCCTTTCTACCAATTTCTAACCACTAATGCTTTGTCTCCTTTGTTGATTCTTCCATCTCCATGCTCTAAATACGAGCTTTCCCAAGGTACAATTCCCCTTGCTAGCATTTCAGAAGCAGGTATGTGACAGTCTGATCAGTAAGATATAAAGAGAATTGTACTTTCTTTTTGTTGTTGTTGTTGTTGTTGAGATAGTCTCACTCGCTGGAGTGCAGTGGCACAATCTCGGTTCACCGCAACCTCTGCCACCCAGGTTCAAGCGATTCTCCTGCCTCAGCCTCCTGAGTAGCTGGGATTACAGGCACCTGCCAACACAGCCAGCTAATTTTTGTAGTTTTAGTAGAGATGGGGTTTCACCATCTTGGCCAGGCTGGTCTTGAACTCCTGACCTCGTGATCCACCTGCCTCAGCATCCCAAAGTGCTGGGATTACAGGTGTGAACCACTGCTCTCGGCCTGTGCTTTCTTTTAAAATGAAGCATACAGGAAAAGATGGTCCCTTCTTCAACTGGATGTAGACATGTCTGCATGTGATGCTGGGAATTGTGGCAGGATCTTGTGACCACGATAGGAACCAGCCTGAGGACTAAGGCAATGAAGAACACTGAAGATGCACTGAAGAAAGATAGAAAGACCCTATGTCCCTGTGATGTCATCGACCCATTAAATGAATCAATCTTGGAACCACCTACTTCTAGGCTTCTTATGTAAAATAATACCCTTGTGGGTTAAGCCATTGAATTGGGGTTTTCAATTCCTTACAACCCAAAACAACCTGTTCTTTCTTTTTTATTAGTTTTATTATTATTTTTTTAGAGACAGAGTCTTGCTGTATTGCCCAGGCAGCCTCAAACTCCTAGGCTCAAGGGATCCTTCTACCTCAGTCTCCTGAGTAGCTGGAAATACAGGTTCATGTTACCTCTCCCAGCTCCTGTCCTTTCTATAACACCCTTACATTGGGGATCTTCTTATCCCTTCAATTGTCTGCCTGGCACACTCTCCCTTCAAGACAAAGCCTACATCATCTCCTCTGTGACAGGGTAGATTGATATGTTGTCATTGGATCTTATATTTATTTAAAGCTAATTCTCCATTAGACTATATGATCCTTAGGGAAACTGTTAATCTTTGTATTTCTATTGCCTGGATGTTTGTTGAATAATTAATGAGAAGGATTATTTTATATCTTAGTTCCATTTTGGTCTACTTACAAGATTTTCTTGTAATATCCAATGATATTAATAGTTCTTACAATAGAAACAATTGTGTACAAGGATGATAATAAACTTGGATGATTTCATTACTGAGCACATGAGATCTTATATCAGGTGCACATCAACCCACTTAGGGATAGAGAAGAGTTAGAAGTAGAAAACGTGCAGAAAATCAGGGAGGATGGACTAAAATAAAACTGCCCTCAGAATTTATTAATGAAAAGTGTCAAAACTAAACAAAAGGTGTTCATCTTCTCTGTCAATGTAACCTTCAGGAAAAGACCTTCTGAGTTGTTTGGTTCAAGAAGTGTAACTTTTCAGAGTGATTTATTTTCTTCCAGGATCCACTGGAGGCTCTCAGAGATTTTATTTTTAAAAGGCAAAACCTTTCGAGACTAACTTCAAGGTGTTATTAAATGCACACTTAAAATATCAAGAAATGTTAGAAGACATCACTATCAACTTTCACATAAATCCTGACACTCTATGTCAGCACCGTTCAATAGAACTTTCTGCAATAATAGAAATGTTCTGTAGCTGCATCATGCAATATGGCAGCCACCAGCCTCTGAGCTATTGAACATTGACTGAGAAACTGATTTTTAAATTTAATTTAATAATTAATTCAAATGTAAATATAAATAGTCACATGTTCCTAGTAGCTACCACGTTGGATAGTGCAGGTGTGTGTTTTATGTGTCCTGGTAGCAGTCAGGATAGACTAGGTTATACTATAGTAACAAATAACCTCAAAATATTAGTGGCTTAAAACAAGAAAGTTTTACTTCTCTCTTTCACTACACCTTCATCATATGTCATCCAGGAACTCTGTTCTACATCTCCTCATTCTGGGTTCATCTTAAACTTTAGTGGCTTAAAACAATAAAGTTTGACTTCTCTCTTCCACCACACCTTCATCATATGTCATCCGGGAACTCTATTCTACATCTCCTCATTCTGGGATCATCTTAAACACTCCTGGTCACTGGAACCGAGGGAAAAATAAAAAGAAATTTGAGTCAGATGTGGTGGTGCACACCTGTAGTCCTGGCTACTTGGGAGGCTGAGGTAGGAGGATTGCTTGAGCCCAGGAGTTTGAGGCTGCAGTGTGTCATGATCATAACCTGTGAATAGTCGCTGCACACCAGCCTAGGCCACATGGTGAGACCCCATCTCAAAAAACAAAACAAAAAAAAAAAAAGAAAAGAAATTTGGAGGGTCTTATGCTGACAATCAAATGAATGCTTGGCTCAGAAGTGACACAGATCACTTCCCCTCACAATTCATTGGCTAGAACTAACCACATGGCCGTATCCACCCATCCGAGAGCCAAGAAGTGCCACCGCATTATGGATGCCTAGAAGACAGAAATATTAGGTGAATAGCACTAGTGTCTAAGTAAGCATCACTAAAATAACTAGTGCCTCAAACTGAACAAAAATAAATTATGTTTTTAAAAGTCTGATGTTTGTCTATACAGAAGAAACAACAAAAACTTGGGATGAAAAAATATGCACAAATTCCAGGAATGTTTATTTGATAAAACTGAGAAATGAAAGATTTAAATGTTTTAGAGTCTTATACTTTTTATTAAGCTTTTGAATAGGTAAATCCATTAAAGAAGGAAGCACAAGCATAATCATATGCATAATGTATATGCATATGCATAAGCATAATGTATCTTCCATTATAAAGAGGATAATTCTGTCAACTTCCACGTAATAATATCAATTTTTAAAAAACCTAATTTGTCTATCCATTCCTGCAGCAATAGTATCTAACCATAATTCCAAGTATAGTCTGTCCACAGCTGTTCCAAACTCATTATTGGAGAATCTTGGAATTAGATGGGACACTGGAGGTCAGCTGTTCTAACCTCCAACATGGGAATCCCTCCTACAGCTCTCATATCTTCAGGGAGGCAGAGGAATCCCACTCCTGTTGTGGGAACTCAGTGTACTGATGGACAGGTGAAGCTGCTCAAGAACTCTTGCTGATGCGTCAACGGTAGCATCCCTGAGCTTTCAATTGGTACTAGCATTATCTTTGGGGGACAGCAAAATTATACTATTAATTCATATTGTACTTAAAAGTGTCAATTTCCACTAAGTCACAGCCTTTTTAAAGTTGTAGCCCAAAGTGTAAGAATTTAAGTCAGATGAAATTTGATGGAAATAAGTGTTGCTTTGGCCTGCCGTTCATTGGCTTCTAGCAAGGTGTCTTTTGAATCATGATCCAATACTAAATAGCAGCTGCCTCTGCAAGAGTTATATATTCTCCAAATTTGATAGGTATCAGGAACGTTGGAGAGCCAGGTCTGAGGTTTGCATCTTAAGTCTGGCATGCTACTATGAAGGAGTTATTTAACTTCACTGAGCCTCAGTCTCGCCTTTTGTGAAATGGAAGTCATAAATCAATAATAATAGTACTTACTCTAAGCAGTTGTATGAATAAATTGTCCAAGTACTCTGATTTATTCAACTAATTAATAAAAATATTTGACCAGAATAGGACTCAAGACTGAACGTTGTAGCACACCATGGCTGGCCTTTCTCTGGGTTAAATAACTACCATGATTTGGGTACATATATCTGCTCCATCACCCAACCCACACTGTTTCATCTTTCCGGTATAGTTGGACAGGCTTTGTCAAATGCCTTACTAAAATCAAATACTTACTCAGGCAGGTTGATTTGGGCTACCCATGTGTCTTTTTCCTTTTCCCATCTCAGACATTGGGGGATAGTTACTATTTTTTAATTCTCTCTTAATTAGTTCATCTTCGTTCTTCCAAAGAATATACAGAGGTCTCTGGTTTCTAGGCTACTACATTTCCTGAGATGATCCATAGACAGAAGTGATTTGAGTTTCCCTGGCTTCTTTTAGAAGGAGTCATTGTATAAAATGGCACACATGTTAGCTAAGACAGATCTCTCATTTTACTTGAGGGGTGTGTGTGTGTGTGTGTGTGTGTGTGTGTGGTGGTGGTGGTGGTGGTGGTGCAACAGGGCTTACATTATATCTTTGGAACTCTGCTCCCATCTATTTATTCAATATCTCCACCATCAAACCAGTGCTTAGATTCCCCATCACTGTTGCCATCATCACAGACAATTAAGATTCAGTAGGAGGAGATAGCCTGAAATTCAATTCTAATCAGCAGCCAAATCCAAACTCCTAAAATATGGGTTGGGTGGTAGTATGTTCTGATAATCCACTTTAGCGAGTGAGGAAGTGCCCCCTATGAAATAATAATAAATAGTCCTCAGGAAGTCCTGTTGTTGACAATGTTTTCCAAGAAACCGTCTTCCCTGGAGACTTTTCTAAACTTTAGACTAGTTTTCTCTTTGCCACAGAAATCCTTTTGTTGGGAGACACTGTAAGCGAACACAGGAGTGGCAGGTCTCTGTAAGCACCAGCTCTGTCTCCAGATTCTTGTCATATTATCAGTCTCTTATCTGTCTTTTTGGGAAATCAACCTTCTAGCCCAGGAATCTCTTATCAAATGGCAAAATGAATGAAATTATTCAGAAGTCCTCTTCTCAGACTATCTTAGTTTATGTCTAATTTTTAAAAATCAATCACTTAAATTCTAGGCAAATGACAATAGCAATAACCTTCCATTGCGTTTTCTTCCAGTATTATGTAGTGTTGCCTCGAACATCATATTTAAACTATTCCAGGTCATAGGCGAGGGCATAAAACCCCTTGTTCAGTGTGGAGTTATATTTGAAACTTCTTAGTAGGCTGAAGCAAATGAAAATCAAAACTGCAGAAATACAGCCCTGGAAGTGAATGAAAAATAAACACAATCAAAATAATGAACAACAGAGTATTGATGAAGGAAAATAGTTAAACATTGCAAAGTTATTGATGGCATTATATATCTTAATAGAAAACGTAATGATAAAGCATAAGGGAGGCAGCATCTTAACCCTGGTTATAAGAACTGAGAAAGCTTTACAAATAATCAAAATCTATCTCCAGATAGATTCTATAAACTATCATTGTAACTCACCACCGACTGCTCAAAGCATGCTGAGCTTTGAAAGAGTAGGTGTAAAGCCCTTACTGTATTGCCTGGTGTGTAGTATCTATCCAGTAAATTTTAGTTCCCCTCTATTTCTCTGTTGTAGACATTAGTATACATTTTTTCCCTGCCTGAAACCAACATTTTGAAGCTCTTTCAAGAATCTTAATTTTGAGGCATTGCTGCCAGTTACGAAGTCCTAATACCCCAATTTACATTTTGACTCTCCTGAAAAGTGAATATTTTAACATAAATTCAATTCACTGGAAAAGATTTACAGGCCCCAAGTGTCCATGTGATTACTGCTTTTAGTCTCTTTAACTCTAGCACTCTAGATTTTGCTGATCCCAAGCCATTTATTAAACAGTTTAATTGCTCTAGCTTTTCCCTCTTGTGGCTCATCTCGGTTTTATCTCCTTATATTCGTACCAAGGCCTAGGGACATCGTGAGATTACTCCAGCAGAGGCGAAATCTGCCTTCTCCCTTCTTCAATTGCTGGTGCAGCCCACAAGCTTGACACGCTGCATTTAATTGATTTTCTATTGTGACCAATTTATGTCTACAGGTAACAATTCTTTGTGGAAGGTCACTGTAGATCAGAAAGGTAAGGTTATCTCCCTACCTTCCAGTTGCTTAAGAAAATAAAATAACAACAATAGAAATAATAATAATGTTAATGGAGCACCACCATCTGAGTCCATTTCCATTAGTGTCTTTGATAATTTTATGAAGGGTAAGCCCTCCACTTCACAGAATGCGGCTAAAGTTCATTCTGTCCTTGTAACTAGCGGGTTTAAAATAATTATACAGTGAAAGCTCTGCTCTAGAGAATATTTTGCTTGGGAAATACCATATTATATTACCAATTGTAATTCTAAATGTGTGCTGTCAAAATACAAACTTAGGTATTTCATAAAATGCTCTGAGGATCAGCTATAATTTTAAAACTTCCCTGCTCTTTGAAGACAAGACAATGATCTTGGAAGAGCCAGGAAGCAGATATCTTTAATGTGTATATGCCTTTAAATTGTGACAGCCAAAGATAGAGATCAAAAGAAAGAATGAAGAGTGAATCCAGCCATGTGAGTGATAGTGTTCGGGGGTGTGTAGGGAGATGCCAGTGGTTACCATCTAGGCCCCTGGGAAGCATGGCCAAGCTGTGGTTGTCAAATGGGTGGCCAAATCATAGGATAATGCTTGTGGTTTGGGATATAGCCAGGGTCACCTAACGGGCGGGCAGGCTGGCTGGCAGGCTCTGCATGTGGGCTCTACCTTGATTCCTCTATCTTGATTCCATCTACCATCATGGAAGCCCCAGGATGGGAAGTGCTCTTGAGACATCTGCAGGGTTGTCTATACTACGGTGACTTTTGGAGTTGTCCCATCTGGCTTCCTGGGCCTGCTAGCAGTACTCATTTAAGGGGTATAGCGGCTTTAGGAAAATCATTCACAGCACCACTTCCTACTCAAGATTACCCTGGAAGGTAATTTGTGCCACAGAAGTGACCAACTATCCTGGTTTACCCAGGACTGTGCCAATTCTAGTACTGAGCATCCTACAGCCAGGAAACCCTTTGGTCTTGGGGAAAACTTGGACAGTTGGTTACCCTTATCAGGACAAATTTTGCCCTGTCAGTTGACAGTGAGAACTCCCTAGTTAAGGGAAAACAGTTCTAATCCTTCATCCCACCTGTGTCAGCTGAAGATTTCACACTGATGAGGAAGCTTGGAAGTTCTGTCTTAGGAACTTTATCCCTGCTCCAGGAGTGGGAGAGACAGGCAATGCATGTAATTATTCTCTTTGCCCAGCCCAGGCAGTGGAGGCCTGAAGAGGCAAGGCCACCTGTCCTAGAGTTGGCGAGGAAGAACTAGAAACAGCACAGAGGTGCTCTGAATCCCTGAGCAATGTCCTCTCCACTTGGCACCAATTGCGCTTCAATTTTGTCCATAAGGAACCTCGCTGTTGCAACCACTTACCTGGAAGAACCTTGGTGATCTCGCCCTTTCTTTTCATCAGCGTTTGCTAAACTGGGCTGGGTGGTGACCTTTCTGGTAGGAGGCCAAAAGGTCACACATTTCTGGCTTGAGCCTCACTCCTGAAACTGTAAACAAAGACTCCTCTGTAGGAATGAAAAGAGAGAAGCACCAATATGTTATTTCCTGGGATCTTTTGTGGTATATTTTTGTCTGTTGTAATATTTGTCACCTGAAGAAATGTCAAAGCATGAGCCAGACTTATTTACTAATAATTCATACTGACTCACAGATGACTCACTTTACTGAACCCAATAGTTGGCAAGTGCCTTCTATTTAATTCAATTTAATGCATATTTACCAAGTGAACACTTGTGCAAGGCAATATGCTATGTGTTGAAGATGATAAAAATAGGAATAAAACTGGGAGGAACACACACATACACATACAAACAAGGACCAAAAGTGAGGCACAAACAAAGGCTTATGATAACCCCTCCCTCCAAGTATATGGACAAGGAGAGCATAGACAAGGTGCCCTTTGAGACCTGAAGGATGACTATGCCCTCTATAGTAAAGGACTGCCAAGGAGGATATTCCCAGTTGAGGGATCAGCATGAGAAAGGACATGAAGGAAGAAAAGTGTTTGAGGGAACTGCAAGTCATCTTTCATGGTTAGAACAAGACAGACTGGGAGATAAAGTTGGAAAAATGGTCGGAACCAGATGGTGAAGGGAGCTAATGTCATGTCAAGGAGTCCGGACGTTGGAGGGTGATGTTAGTTAGAGAGTGATAGACAATGAGCATCACACTGAGCTAGATACGTTTTAGAAAGTTTCCAATCTTATTAGATACATTAGGCAATTTTTTTTTTTTTTTTTTTTTTTTGAGACAGAGTCTCACTCTGTTGCCCAGGCTGGAGTGCAATGGTACAATCTTGGCTCACTGCAACCTCCGCCTCACAGGTTCAAGTGATTCTCTTGCCTCAGTCTTGCAGTAGCTGGGATTACAGGCAAGCACCACCACATCCGGCTAATTTTTGTATTTTTAATAGAGACAGGGTTTCACCACGTTGGCCAGGCTGGTCTTGAACTCCTGACCTCAGGTGATCCACCTGCCTCAGCCTCCCAAAGTGCTGGGATTATAGGCGTGAGCCACGGTGCCCAGCTGGAAATCTATTTATATAGACTCTAAGGTGCAACTTCCAAATTGAAAACAAAAACAAAAACAAAAAAACAAACAAAAAAACCCAACCATTTGAAAATATATATACTACCTTTGACGTCCAAATCAGGTATTTGGTTAGCTCAGAATACTGGCAGTTCACATTTTCCCAAGTGCCTGTGTTTGTTGAGTGCTTGCTACTCCTGAATGCTCACTACACTAAAGCTATGGGCCAACTCCTCCAAAAGCTGACATTGCAAGGGGCTTATCTGAAAAGTGGGGAAAATAAAACTTCCTGGCAGATTGCTGTAAGTTTAAATAAGACAATATATGCAAAACACCTTGTGTTAGTTTCTGATACACAATATGTTTTTAATAAATGGTAGCCATTGTTACAAGTATTAGCGCAGATATCTGAGAAAAATAGCAAGAGGCAGCAGCCACATTGTCGTCAAAGCACATCCACAAAATTTGCTCAGGGCCCCCTTCCACTTGGGCATTGCTTTTCCCAGGTTCACAATTTGCATAAACCTGGGTTGCTCAAAATATCTCACAATTTAACAAAAAGAGAGGCTTCTGTCCTTAGTGCACCAAAAGCATAAAATGCCTTAATAATACTGTTTGCTGGAAATTGCTCACACCCAAAGGGAAGAAATAAACTTGCTAGGCCGGGCGCGGTGGCTCAATTCTGTAATCCCGGCACTTTGGGAGGCCGAGACGGGCGGATCACGAGGTCAGGAGACCGAGACCATCCTGGCTAACACGGTGAAACCCCGTCTCTACTAAAAAAAATACAAAACACTAGCCGGGCGAGGTGGCGGGCGCCTGTAGTCCCAGCTACTCGGGAGGCTGAGGCAGGAGAATGGCGTAAACCCGGGAGGCAGAGCTTGCAGTGAGCTGAGATCCGGCCACTGCACTCCAGCCTGGGCGACAGAGCGAGACTCCGTCTCAAAAAAAAAAAAAGAAATAAACTTGCCAGCTCTGCCTCGCCTGGCCTAAACTCGTGCCCTTAAATGCTGTGGGTAATCTGGGGTCTGTCTGGTCTTCTTGTATTTGGAATTGCATATTGGCTAGGCTGGAAAGGGGAGCTATCATACCATTTGTTGATATGTATAAGACTCTTTCACAAGGACATTATAATATGCAATTTTGTATTCTACTTTTAGATCTTGTCATAGAATAGACAGTTAAACGGCTAAAATAAACAGTGCGTATACTTTACCAATTATTCCCAAATCAACTCAAATCCAAACCATTTGGGGAACTTCTCTCGGGGAGAAGTATCCTCTTGCCTTGGGGACAGCGGCATGAAAAGCTGGGATTTCCCTTCGGCTTCCTTGCCCCTTAAAAGCAGCAGCTCCTCAAAAGCAGGGGGAGAGAGAGAGAGAGACAGACATTATCTGGCAGAACATGCTGGGAAGGCAACCGGTTAATCAAAAGGATTCCAATTTGGCTGTGGACTGCCAGACTCTCCTTCCCAACTCATAGAAAAAGAAAAAGGAGGAAGAAAGAAAGAAAGAAAGAAAGAAAAAGAAAAAACGAAAAAAGCTGTACACGGCTCTCCTTCAGCAATCTCATAAATGCAAAACCTTCCACTCTGGTGGCTCCTCATTAGCTTCCCAAGGCTGACAGCATAATTATCACAGCTGCTTCACGCTTAGAATAAATAAATATGAAAGCGGGTGTTTAAAAATTTTTTGAGAAGGGGAATTCAGTCATCTAGACAGTCGGCAGGACAAGTTTATTTAAAACTTTTAGATTCTTATGTATTTAGATCATTTCGGAACGAGATAATGAGATAGTTGTCTTTTTAGTCTAATTGAGTTCCTAAGCTCATGGCTGTTGGCTGTCACCCCTTTCAAACTTTGCTTTAACTCTCCTTCCTTTAGAAATCCGATCCTGGTGTCTCCATTTACTCTTCCTGGGCTGATAACCCGACCAAGGCTCAGTGCACTGGAGTGCAGAAAGTGACTTAATGGGATTGAGGGGCTAAATAACCTTTCACAGGAAACAAGATAATCAGATCTCTTTTACTTGACCATAATGGCTAAAAGAGAAAGCACAAGCAAACACACAAAAAAAAAGGTTGAAAATTCAGCTATCATTTCAAAATGTCTTGTAATCTTCCGTGTCATGTGGTTTTTGCACTACTCTCCCACATCATCAATCCATCAGCTGGAGATGCTTAGTGCATTTAATTATTCAAAGTGCACACATCCTCGTGATTATGCGGTAATTTTAGCTCATGTGTATGTATAGAGGCTTCATATCTTCAAAGCCCAGAGGATCACACAGCACTTTAAATTGAAGTTGCTAACTAACACGAAGTGCACTTAAAACTCTGACTAGGGGCACAGTACACATACATTTCCGATTAAAGCAGATGATCTTTCCTTTTAAAATTAATTATGCCTATTTATTTTTTCCTTTCCCTCCTGCCCTTCATTCTCCCAGGACCAAATTTATATGAATCCTTGCATTCAATGAGTTAAAAGTATTATAAAAATAAATATTCTGTCAATTTGGGGTAAAGAAAACTAGTGTTAACCCATCGTGCAGATGGAGAAACTGAGGTTTATGACAGCCAAAACACATTATGTTGGGAAACAAAAAAGAAGAAAACTCAGGTCCTTTAACTCTCAATCCCCAGCTCAGACTGCCTGTGCTGTTTTGTTTTAACCTATTCTTTTAAACAACTAAGACAATATAACACCAGTTTAAAGAAAGCTCTGAGAAAGGAAAAGAAATGACCTACAACCCCACTAAACTAGAAGAGCATTTTTATTTTGTACACTACCTTTCGGTTTTGTTCATGTGCATATTAATTTTCACAGGTCAATTGTAATATGCAATTTTGTATTCTAGTTTCTTATAGCTCATGTTATAGCATAAGAACTTTTATAATATCACACACTTCTATTAATGATCATTTAAAATGGCTACATAGTACTGTATGTTGAGTCAATACACCAACATTTGTCCAATTGGTTCTCTGGTGTTTAACAGTTACATTGCTTCTTTTTATTCAAAAAATTGTAAAACATTATAGACAACACTGCAATGAACATTTTCATTAATCTAGGTCTTAGGGTTTTTCCCCCTATTCAATTATTTCTTTGGATAATTTCCAGGAACAAAGGCATAGGGTGTAAGGGTATGATCATTTTTATGGCTCCTGATATGCATGCTATAATACTTTGCAAAAGTTTCACTACCATCAGCAGAGAATCATTTTACCGTAATCTCACAAACACTGGGAGCTATTAGATTACAGGAAAAAATAACTAATTTAACGGTTATTTGTACTTTTTATCCCTAGTAAAGCAGTCAATTTATTCCATGTGTTGCTGTGCTCTTTTTGTTTCCTCTTGTATAAATTGCTATTTTATGCCTTCACCTCATTTTCCATTGGATTCCTTGATGTTGTCTTATAAAACTGAATGAGTTTCACCTGAATGAGTTACCGGTGAAACAAAAACAATTATCACCACTGATTAAGAAATCTTGGCCGGACCAGGTGACTGATACCTGTAATCCCAGCACTTTGGGAGGCCGAGGCAGACGGATCACCTGAGGTCAGGAGTTTGAGACTAGCCTGACCAACATGGTGAAACCCTGTCTCTACTAAAAATACAAAAGTTAGCTGGGCAAGGTGGCACAGGCAGGTAATCCCAGCTACTTGGGAGGCTGAGGCAGGAGAATCGCTTGAACCTGGGACATGGAGGTTGCAGTGAGCCAAGATCATGCCATTGCACTCCAGCCTGGGCAACAAGAGCAAAACTCCATCTCAAAAAAAAAAAAAAAAAAAAAAAATCTTAAAACTCAAGGCTGATTGCATATATTATTACAAGAAAAGAAAAGAAACTAAGGTAAGATGGCATTGAAGAAGAAGTTGGTTTTGGGGCGTAAATCTCTATTCAACATAAATTGAGCCCTCTTAATTGTGAGATATTAAATACGCTACCTGGGGATGTGTGGAATC